TCCTCTCGTCCCTCCCGGGTCACCTGGCAGGAGAGTCCACGAAGCCCGGTTCTGTGGGCCTCAGACCATTCACTCCTCTCTCAGCCGAGGCTCTGTATCTGGGCCCAACTTGTTTTGTTCCTTTCTTAAGTGTGAGAATAACCTCCCAAAGGGGCCCTTTTCATCTCTCAAACAGATTTCCAGCCAGCTTCCCCTGCCAGAGTTCCAGGCATGTCCAGATGTGGCTGTGTCCTCAGAATAGGCCTTGTTTCAACTTCCTCATTTCTCTGTAACGAGTTGTATCTCCCTGGAGGTTTTACTTCCAGTATGAAGGGGGTGGGTGGTAAGTGCTGTTTGATGCAATCATTTAAACAGTCCCTCTGGTCTCTGTAGGTTAAAATTCTCTTGGTGCTCTCCCTCGTTCCAGCTGGCTTCAAGGTGGCTCCTCCTTTCTTTTGGGGTAGCATGAAGAGCTAAGAGCACCAGAACCTCCTCATGTCCCTCTCCCCCCCCCCCAGGTACCCAGAGGCACTGCTTTGGTAGATAGTTGGAAAGCAGAATGCCAAGGAGTGGTAGACCACCGTTGAGGGTTAGTTGACATTACTGCTTACTTCGGTAGCTATGGGTGGTCTGGGTGTCCTCCCCATCTCTTCAGGACTCAGCGTCACTGACTTGCTCTTGGTCACCGAGAGACCATCCTGCTTTCCTGCCAGCCCCTGACCAGTCTTTAGCGCTCACTTGGCCTTCTCCGGATGAGGCCTCAAAGCAGACAACCTGTGTGCGCTCTGTCACATCTCCTGGGCCCTCCATGAGCAATGGCTTGTGGTGATGATGTGATAGGGAAACATGGGGACTTCTGCTCAGGAAAAGCAAGATCTCTGGCTATGCCTTGAGATAAAGTCTCAGACAGAGTCAGAGGAAGTAAAGTCAGTGAGTTTTTAAGAGACAGGTGAAAGGCAGGCTCAGTGGCTCACACTTTTAGTCCCAGCACTTGGAAGGCAGAGGCAGGCTGATCTCTGTGAGTTCAAGGCCAGCCTGGTCAACATAATGAGTTCCAGGACAGCCAGGGCTACACACACAGAAATGCTGTGAGACAGGAGAGAAATGTGCTTGGGATTCACGAAGGTGTTCAGGGCAGGGTGTCCTGAGCTGCCCCACAGTGGCTGCTGTGACTTACGTGGCACAGCTCGGAGACAGGATTTACAGTGAAGTTTAAAGATGCAGAGAAACCTAAAACGTTTTAAAACAGTGAGATTGTTTACTTACTTTCTTTATCTTAAAGACTCTCTGAATGAAATTGTAGGTAGTCTTAGAGGTGTGTTGTTTAGATTTAGATGACAACTTGAGCCACGAGCACTCTGGCCCTCGTTTGAAATGTCTTTAGGAGGCAAACAGCAGCTCTAGAGGAGTTTTGATTTATTAGCCAAGTTTCTGCCCCGCAGCCAAGGGAAGAGACTCTGTCGGCTCCTGGGGCCTCTTAGTGCCCTGCTTCTCTCTCCTGCCTCTGTCATCACAGGGACAGCAGCCAAAGCTCCCCTCTTCTCTCTCAGATGCTTCTTGGAGGCCAGCGAAAGCCACACAGTTCGGGAGGTCTGAGCAGGTAAGCTGGGCTGGAAGCAATACTCAAACGGTCACATTTTCATAAACTGCCCAGCCCCCAGCCTCAGAGCAGACAGCTTTGAGGTGTATTCACCCCATTCCTCTGAGAGCACCCTGAGGACTTGAGTCCTAGATGATCACATCAGTAACTTGTCTATTCATGTACCTGGGCCACTTATTTCTGGCCTATCCCCTTCATCCTTGCTTTCCAGGTCCTAAGTAAGTGAGCTGAACCCAGGTCTAGCCTGTGCCTCACACTTTAGCTTTCCTCAAGTTTTTGCATGTCTGTGGTACCCCAGGATTTATGGTGACTCTAGTAAGCTACACCAAGACCGCCCTCTGTGTAGCCACAGGGAGCACACAGCTCTCCAGATGCTGGAGTGGGAGCTAAAGGGAGCTGGAGAATTATTTTCTTTCTGTGGGTGTTCTACATTTCTCCTTGTGTTCTACTAATGAGAATCAGAGGGCTTCCTCCACCCACTACAGAAACCAGAAAACCACCCATCCTGGGCCATCCTCCTGTGGAGGCTTTGGTCACTTGTAGCTGTGGAATTAGCTGTTGTTCTCTTTCTCTTTCTTTTTCTTTTCTTTTTCCTTTTTTTTAGACAGTCCTTGGCTGGCTTAGAACTCACTATGTAGAACCAACTGGCCTTGAACACTTGGATCTTCGTCCTGAGTGCTAGCTTTAAAGGCATGTGCCACCACTCCTTGTGTTCTTAAGGAACTGAATTTTAAGTTTATTTACTCAAAACTCAAATTAATATTTAGATGTTGCTTCTCAATGCAATGACTAGGTAAGTTTGAAGTATATTTGACCAACTTAGGGATGTGAGTCTACTTTTCTAACTAGAACTTCATAAAAAAAAATTAACTGCAGATTAAGAATTTTTTGAGGTTATATAATTACATCATTCCCTCTTTCCCTTTCATCCACACTTATTCTTCCACATAATTTCTTACTTTTTCAAGTTCATGGCCTCTTTTTAAATTAATCGTTGTCACATGTACATACAAATACACAGATCCCTAAATGCATGATTCAGATTAAATTTTTGGTAAAAATTTAGCATCTGAATTATGATGTACTTAAGTATAAACACGCACCCATTTTATCCTTAGTATAAAAATCAAATAGAAAATGCTTCATATTTTCTTCAATAATTTCTTTATATTATTTAAATAAATTATATTAAATAATTTCTTTATATTCTTACGTATTAAAGATTTATTTATGTATTTTTGAGACAGGTTCTCACTTTTTTTTTTTTTGTGAAGTTTTATGTTATTTTATTTTATTTATTTTTGAGACAGGGTTTCTATCCCTGGCTGTCCTGAACACCACCCTGCCAGGAGTTTTTTGTTGTTTTTTTTTTTTTTTTTTTTTTTTTTTTTTTTTTTTTTTTTTTTTTTTGAGACAGGCTTTTTCTGTGTAGCCTTGGCTATGCTGGACTTGCTTTGTAGACCTGGCTAGCCCCAAACTCACAGAAATCCACCTGTCTCTGCCTCCCTGAGTGCTGGGATCCCAGGCGTGCGCTACCACACCCGGCTCAGGGTCTCACTATGTAGAGAGAGAGTTCCAGGCTGGCCTAGAACTTGATATGTAGAGCAGACTGGCCTTGAACTCATAGAGATTCTGTCTCTGCTTCCCAAGTGCAGGGATTAAAGGCATGTGCCACATGTCCAGCATAATTCCTTTATAATAATTGCATGCTAAGCAGAAATATAATAAAACTTAATTTTACCTGTTTGTTTTACTCCTCCTCCTCTACCATCACCACTTCTGAGACTAGAGTTCCACTGTGCCTGAGGCTGGCCTTGAATTCACTGTCCTCATGCCTCGGGCTTCCTAATGCTGGGATTACAGGCGTGTGCTCCCATGCCTGGCTTTCTGCAACTACTTTTAACATGGCTACTAGACATTTTAAACTCAGACCATAGCTGTTGTGAGGAACGCAGGGTCTTACCCTTTCCTTCAGAGCTATCACCCCAGTATTTGGTTCTGTTTTCACCGGGCAGTTTCTTTTACACAATGCTCCTCTGCTGCCTTCATGGGCAGTGAGCCTCCCTGTTCACTCTGTGCCTATGGAAGTCTGCGGCTTTGAACGGTAAAATTCATTGTGTGTTTCCTATTGAGAAATAGTGTCTCCAGCCCAGATCCAGCATCTCTGCTTTCTCTGAAAGGACAAGGGACCATTCTTCTCTCCTGTGGTTTCAATACGGGGAAAGGAACTGTTAGAAGGTGTTTCCCAGTGACTCTCATCACCACCCGTGCTCACCGAGGGGCTTTTTAAAGGTCTCACTGTGTAGCACAGGGAGCTCTCATCGTCTTCTCGCCTCAGCCTCCTGAGCACTGGGGCTGTGGGTGTACACCAGGCCTGTCAGATCTGGATTTGAACAGGGCAGAGGATTGGTATTCTGGCGTTAGGAGTGTACCCCCAACTGGCAGGAAGCCAGATGATTGGTTATAAGATGGCCATTTGACTCAACGTGAGCCAGTGAGCGGCCCTCCTGAGAGGCTGGGGTAAACTGGGGAATTCTAGCAGCACCTCACAGCCCTCTTCAACAGCAAATCAGAGCCCTGCGGTTAGGAGTCATGGCTGCCCTTTGTCCTGTTTCTGAGGTCTTGGAAGACCAGGTTAGAAAAGAAGAGAGAACCCTGGGAGGCTTCCTGGAGATCTACTCAGCTCTCCCTGCAGTTCTAACCTGCGAACCGCTCATATCCTCAGAGCACGTTTTTTTCCTGGGGTCCGGATACTTGCAAAGGAAAGCAGCTTACCCAGGACACAGTAATGGGTCCAGAGAGAGCAATGAGTGGACCAGGTTCGTGTTTACAGTTCCAGCGGAAAGAACCAGATGCATTTGCCACCTCCTCCCCCTTTTTCACAGTAGAAAAAGCCGCTCAGTAGCCTTCTTGTTCAGTGCTGTGGGACGTCTCCAGCTCCACCCCACAGCTGCGCTCCGGGCTCAGCAAATCTGCGGCTGGGCTGGGAACGCTCCGCCGTTTATAACATTGTTTCTATGGGAGACACATTCCAAGATCCAAACAATGAGTTTAGTGGAGGGTATCTGGCTTCCAGGCGGATGGGATGCACTCGTCGGCCTGGCCGCCCTTTCTTTCACTGTTAGGTTCCCTTCCCCTTTGGGGGGCGCATACACGAGCAGTTATGGTGAGCGGACGCAGAATCAGCAGCTGGGTGCTCCCTCCTATGCACTAGAGTTCCCGGGGGCCTGAGGATGGAGAGGAGGAGGAGGTGAGGGGTGGACAAAGAAACTTGACTTCCTTCACATTGCTGTCACGTCCGCCGGCCTGCGAGGTGGAAAGGGGCCCACTCAGCGGCCCAAACAAGCCCTTCTGAGAACAAGGCCGGTGTTAGGAAGAAACGCCGCCCCACCAGGCACATCCTCTGCTAGGAAATCTGCATTCTCTAGGCGGGCTGCTCCCCGGGAGTGACTGTCACAGGGCCAGGCGAGCCTTCGAGCCTGGGCCAAAGCTCCACGCCGCCCGGAGAGGGCAGGCGCGATGTGGTGAGAGGCGCCACCTTACCCCTCCACCCGCGCCCTCCGCCCCCTCCTCATTCACTCTGGCCCGCCGGGAAGAAACGCTGGCCGAGTGCTAGCCGGGAGGGGAGGTGCGGGGTGGCGGGGGGCCGAAGTGGGGTGGCGACGCGGAGCCACACCATTGTCTGTCTTGAAGGGAGGGGAGAAGCTCCGCCTTCTGGGGGGGAAGGAGGGTGAGGAGGGAAGAAAGGCAGGAGAAGAGGGGTGGGGAGAGGAGAAGTACAGGGGTGACGGGTGGGTTGGTCAGGGATCGGCTGATAAAGGCAGAGCTAGGGGGCGGGGCGGAGGGGCCAGGGGGCGGGGCGCCCGCCCTCCGTCGCGGTGTCGCCGCCCAGCCCGGCCCGAGCGAGCCGGTCCCTCGGATCGCCGGCCAAGCACGCCGGAGCACCCTCACCCCGGCAGGGGCGCCCCCACTTTCCAAGCCCTGCGGCGGGCGCAGATGCAGCTGGCCCCGGACGCAGGCAAGGCACCGGGCGCGGGGCGCGAGGAGCCGGGGACTGGCGCGGGATGCGGGCGGAAGGTGCGGGCACCAACGGTCCTGTCTCCCTCTAACCAGCCCAAAGTTTTTCCTCGGCGGCCCTTGGCCGGCCTAGTTGGGGCCCCGAGTCTTCCCTGTCGCGGCTCGCCACCCCCCTCCCACGCCACACGGGGCTCCTAGGTGTCAGGGCTGCCCCAGAAACGGCGGAGGAGGCGGGCGCCCCGGCCCGCTCGCTTTCCCGGGGCAGAAAGTTGTGGCCTGGAGCCCATCCTGCCGCTCTGACCCCTTGAGGTCTTAACTGCGGTCGCCGCCAAGCGCAGAGTTAGGAAAGCGCCCCTCTCCGCAGGGCAGGGTGTCCGGGCTCGCTGGCGAAGTGGAGCGGCGCAGCAGGTGCAGCCTAGGGGGACTGCAGGGCGCCCCCTGGCTCCCAGGGCGAAGACCTGGCCCGCGGCCAGCCGGGCCCCCCGGGCGTCAGAGTTTGAGGGCGCGCGGCGCGCGGCGCACTTCCCCCTCTTAGGTCTCGTGTCTTCTTCGGCCCTGGTGGCTGAGGTCGCTGGAGGCCGAGCGAGGTAGGTGCTTTCAAAAGGCGGCCCGGCCACTCGTGCACCCCAGCTCTGTCCCGAGAGCGCCCCGGAGACGGCAGAGTGGCGGTGTCCTGCCAGGGACAGATCCGGACGCGTCCCGTCACCCTGTGCTTCAGTGTTAGGCTTAGCGCAAGCCGAGGCTTCTCGACACTGCGCGCGCTTTAGCCCCACAGGTCTGACAACCGGGGGCTCAGAAACGCTTCTCCCCGACAGCAGAGGCAAAGGTGAAGGGAAACATCCCACAAGGCAAGGATTCCTGCTGGAGGAAGCGTGCACAAATGCCTATTTGTCAGGTCAGGCTCTGTCCCTGCGGTGGGAAGAAAGACTAGAACCACAGGACTTAGGAACAGCGGCAGGTTGAGCCTGGGGATCCTGTTGAAGAGCAGGCGAATGAGGAATCTGAGGTTGATATGTCGTACTTTGAACCCGCGTTTATTAAGTGGGGGTTAAAGACATCTCTGTGCTAAGCTGTACTGGGTTTGAGAAGAGCGCCCTTTCCCTCCCTTGTTCTCTCCCTCCCTTTCCGTCCAGGGAACCAAATGTGGCATCTTCCTAAGTGGCGCCCATGTGAGCTCGGAGAGTAGGGCTGCTGGGTGTGGTCTGTTTCCTCCTCTGGACTAAAGCCTGATTCCGAGGACCTGCTGCAGTCCAGCAGGTTTCGGGAAGGTAGAGAGGAGCATCAAATGATGGCGGAGAGATGACCTTAGTTTGCAAAGAAACGTGTTTCTTGCCCTAGTACAAGAGGGAACTGTGCGTAGTCTGCCCGGCCACCTGAGGGTGTGGACTGGTAGTATTTGGGGCTGCCTGTGTTGGGGGGGGGTTGTTATGGGAAGCCACACCCATTTCTTTAACAAATAGAGGAGCAGAGGTGTGGTGTTGCGGAAACAACAAAGCATGAGGTTCAAGCACAAGTGATGAGGGGGCAGCCTTGGACACAACAGAAAGGAGACCAGGCTAGCCCAGATGTCCACACCAGCACCTGAGCGATGGGCCAGGTGGGTCAGGGTACCGTGGTGTCTGCAGCCAGCACCATCCCCACTTTGCTGAGGGCAGTGTCCCCAAGCCCTGACACACACTTCCCTCCATCTCACCGTGTCTTCTCTTTAGAGTACCCGCTCTCTTTCTATTGGGGGAGGGGCAGTAGGCGCCACACCTTATTTTCCGTTCCCTTCTTCACTCTGGTGTTTGGGTCCGTCTGTAACATCTCTGAGGCCCGATAGCCTTTCACCCTGACTTCTTACCTGGTGCCTTGGAACCAGGCTTCTTGTCTGACCTTGTGCCTGAGCTGCTTAGGGATGGGTAAGGGTCCCAGCTGGAGGTGTGCCCACGGCTGTACTTCTCTGCTTCTCATTTGGGCTGGACTCTGTGGCCTGTCAGGAAGGAGACCTGCTGTCCAATCACAAGAGAACCTGAGCTGATGGTCACTTTTAGTTCTCTTTGGGATCCCTTGACAGGAAGTGTCCTCACAGCTTGGGAGGAGATGGAGTTGGGCAGTGCTTAGCTTGGCTGCCAGAGTCCTAAGGAAAGGTTGAGGGGGTGTGGGGGAGGGGTACTAAGAACAGCCGAGGGGCCTGCCCAAACCTCTCCTTCAGTGAAAATCTGCTCAGATCTTGTGTGCTTGGACTAAAAAATGTCTTGTTTCTGATCTTAAATCTTAGCTGCCAAGCCTCAGCTGAGCTCATAATATCAGGGTAGCAGTCCTTCATGCCATTTCCCACTGTTCCTGACCCCTTCACAATGTGATTAATTTATTTACCCCAGGGAAACACTGTCAAGTATAAACACCTTCCTTATGCTGAAAGTTTTTTTTTTTGTTTTTGTTTTGTTTTGTTTGAGACAGGGTTTCTCTGTGTAGCCTTGACTGTTCTAGACTACACAGAGAACTCACAGAAATCCTTCCTCCTCTGTCTTTGGGATTAAAGACTAAAGGCACACACCACCATTGCCCAGCTAACTCCCAGAAGAATGTTTTAAAGTCCCTGAGGAAGGGTAAGCTCTCCTCTTAAGCCTGTCACTACCAGTTTGCTTACGGGGTTCCACAGAGGACATGTGGGGGGAGGGATGGAGCAGTAGGTACAGCAAACATGGACGTGCTTAGATTCCAGTGAGCGGGTCCCTGCTCCCCCTCCCTGAATGAAGACGTCAGAGCCTATAAGCACAAACTGATGCAGTTGTTTGGGTTAATAGTTTTGGGCTCCTCTGGACTCCTGCTCAAGGCAACTGTGGCTGGACCAGAGAGTGAAGGGCACTTGACTGACTCTAACCAGTGATTTCCAAGCACCTCCCCACTCACACACACACCAGCTGACAGAAAGATACCCTGTGCTTCTTTGCCTATGCCAACCCAAAGTGACTGGCGAAGTGGGCACATTTCTATCAGTCTGCAGTATACCAACGGTTGGCACTTAGTTGGGTTTGTTTAAACTGTTCCTTTCTGTAGGTGGGCTGCGTTTGGAGTTTGCCTCCCTAGCGTGTTTCAGCTGTAGGGTAGGGGTCAGCTGGCAGATCTGGTCAGTGCCCTCCTTCTATGCCCTTGGCTTCTACCAGCTGCTGACAGAGGAAGTTATAGAAGCACATCCTAGTGCCTTCACTCTGATGGGATTATTGGGGGACATGTTCTGTGCTGTCACGAAAGTCCCTTCTAGGGACACTTTTCCAACAGCGCACAGAAATGACTCTTCTTCTTCCTTTTAATTGCATGAGTGCAGGTGAATGCCTGCATGTATGTACGTGCACCGTGTGAGGGCTTGGTGCCTGCAGGGGTCAGATAAGGGCGTCGGATCCCCTGGATCTGGAGTTACAGAGGGGTTGGACTACCATGTAAGTGGGAGGAATCAAACCTGATGGAGGGAGGGGCCAGTGCTCTTTCCAAGGGTCATCGCGGTTTTCCTCTTCTCTTCTCACACCCCCATTGCCCTTCTACCTGAACTTGACTTCTTGTCTCTGCTTTTGGGAAAACATTCTAGTTCTTTGGTTAATACAAAGGAGGCTGGGATAGACCGGAGAGTGCGTAGTAGGGCAGAACATGGAGAACTGGACTTGGAGAGAGGTGAGAAGGTAGAGGTCGACAGCTCAGGGATGCATGGCTAGGCGGTCACCAGTGATGCTCTGTAGTGTTGTGACAGCTGGCTTTCAGAAGGGCAGCATGGGGGAGACTTGCTTTGGGGGTTCACCTGTTTCTGTAGGTAAATATTCCTGCTGCTGCTGAGTTTTAGCTATCAGCATGCTGTCGTTGAACGCTGAGTTGGCAGGACCTGAGTTGTGTGAACACTCTGGCCGCAGCTGAGCTGGGCCAGACGAAAGAAGATAAGGACCACACTGGGTGTCTAACATGCTCTGACTTGGTTGAACCACCATGTGAGACTGTTCTGGGGCTTAACATGGAAACTGAGACATTTATGCTGAGTATTTTCTGGTCCTTGTTTCCCCATCTCAAAGGCAAGGGAGGCGGTTCCGTGTGTCCCTTCTAGCCTTTGCTTTCTTTAGAAAGAGTCCATTTCATTTTAGGGAAACGTTAAATGTCTACTCAAGGCTGAAATCTTGAACAACAAAAAGCATTCCAAAACATGCATCCCCGGGCACCCTCAAATACGTGTTAGGGTCTCCTGCCGGACAAGAAGTTCAGGGGACATTAACCCAGGATAACCTTGCTTTTTTATGTCCCAGTTGCTTGCCTTTCATGGCCCATGCAAAGCTGTGTCTCCAGGGAAACCCTGGGAAGAGAGGTTAAGATGGCTTCTGTTGAAAAGACAGGCTAGCTTTCTGAACACTATGCAGTTTCTTAGGAGCTCAAGTGGAGTCAAAGGAAGATCCAAAGGAAAGCAGAGTACTTGTAAGAAAAAAATTCGCATCCTTGGAGTAGCTTAGTCTCCCCACTCAGGACAGCCTTCCTGAGGGAGCCCCTG